CAGGAGTAGTAGTAGCAGTAGTAGTAGTAGTAGCAGCAGTAGTAGTAGTAGTAGTAGTAGTAGTAGTAGTAGTAATGAAAGTAGTACAAGTATGAGTACCAGCACCATAATACAAGTACTCGTGCGAAGAGGTTCCTGTTGCCCTTCGCAGTTGATGTTGCGAATCCACATGGCACTCTCACTAGCCGGTTTCAACAATTAAACCAACGGCTGCTAGTGATGACAATTAGCTCTAGCGTGAGATATCTTCAAAAGGCTTCACAACCAACCCTCATCAGTTTGCTGTATCAAAGCACAAAGTCTAAGGGTATTGATGTTCCACAGGGGATGGTGTTTTTGGTTATCCAATTTCAGCCTTCGTGCTCTAGGACTACCATATGCAACTTAATGGACAATATGGGGCACTCCATGTTGGAGTGTCTGCAAATCCTGCTACGGTTGTTTACAAGACCTGGTTATTTCTACACTTAAATCTCGCTCCCTCTATATGTTTAAATATATATATATATAATATAATACATTTTTTCTGCATAAATTTATGCATTAATACACACAAAGGGAAAGGACAAAAAACGCATCGTTAGAAACACAAGTATATGATCTACACATTTCATACCCTGCACCAGGAATTATTATGCAGACATGTATATGTATATCTATACATATCTTACATAACCGAGTATCTAGTGGGTTATTTTTGATCCACCTACTTTTTCGATATGACTTGAACCCGGTTGTAATGTACGGAGTCCTGCAGCTTCGCAGCGTACTTGAGGTGCGGGGCGATGTAGTGGTTGTAAGCATCTCTCACAGCTTTGAATCGTGCAATTGCCGCCTCTGTTTTGGGAAGAGGTCGCCTTGCAAACGCTTTCTCATCATCACTTTTTCGTTGTCTCTTTTTTTTGGGTGGGGGCTCTTCATTCGTCTGCCCCGCCGGCGACGTCACAGCCGCTGGCTTTCGCATGCTTGGACCCACGCTTGGCTTCTTGTTGATCTTCTTCTTCTTCAAAGATTGTCTCAACTCATGCTGCTCATCCGGGGTCAACTGCGGCTTGTCCTACAGGGGCTATAGAATTCTAGGCTTCAGGCTAGCGTCAGAAAAATCTAAAAGAGATGATATGTGCTACATGAAGATCAACTCACATGATTAGCAGTCCAATCCTTTCGCGAGGCGGGTTCCGCTGAAGACTCCATCTTTGAAGATTTGCCAGACTTTAGAGTCGACTTTCGGCGCAAGCGGTTGTTTGGGGTGCTACGTGTGGAAGCTGGTGTTTTGGGATGTTCATAATCCATGACAGCAGCTTCCAGGTCAAAGGGCATGGTGTCTTGATCCTCGTTTCACAGCAGCTGGATCATCCTACCAAGCTTCAATTTTGGATATACTACTCCTACCGAACAAAGGGTTCTGACAGGGCACATGAATACTCTGATTCCCCCGCGGTTTCACGGGGCTGTCTTCAATCTCCAGCACCACCGGTGCCAAAGCCACTGGACCTGATCCACCATGTGTATGTATATATGTGTTTATGTATGCATGTACGTACATAGGCATGTATTCTAAAGACACTACAAAACTTAATTACAAGGAATCTATATAACCACTGCATGGGCATTTGTCCACCCATAATAAAAAAAGGATAATGGTAGTGCATCAGAAGAGCTCACATCTGGGACTGAAGAGGAAGCAGACCTCATATGCACGAGTTGTATATAAGATATCACATATTTGTACATGCAGGCCGTTTACAACCGCAGCAATAAATACACAAAATGTCGTCCACGAACCAAATCTATGAAAACTGCAAACATAAGACATTGATCCCGGTAGCAGTCCAAGTTCCTTTTCCAACCTTTGTATCTCCACGCTTGTCCTATCCAGCTCCATCCTAACCTGTGAGCGTCCTGACCCTGATGCCAGCGGGTGCGGTTTGATTTCAGGGAAAACAAACTCCGGCGTGGTTTCCTCCTTCCTTTTCTGTTTTAGAGGCTTGGGGGGCGGGGGCATTGCAATCAAAGGCTTCTTCTTCCCCGTTTCTGCGGGAGCAGCCTTGGCAACGGCTGGCTTTTTGAAGCTCTGGGGGGGATCAGGCTCCACCTCCTCATCGTTCACAAAGCCTTCCTTTTCCTCTTCACCATTCTCATGCCCTTCCTCATCTATTTCAGGTTCCTCCTCCTCCTTTTCTTTGCCTTGCCGATTCTTCCTTGGCCGTGAGTCCTTCTTGTTATTGTCCTCTTCCTGTCCCTCCTCTTCGTCGTCCTCTTCCTCTTCGTTTCCATTCTCCTCTTCATCCTCCTCCTCCTCTTGTCCTTCATTGTCTTCATCATCCTCAGCCTCGCTGTCCTCCTCTTTGTTGACGAGAGGAACTGCAATCCCACGCTTGAGCCGCCGAATGATTTTGAAGAGCTCCCGGACAGACTTGTCCTCAGCCATGGTTGAAAATTGTCGGAAAAACATCATCGAAGCTGCTTGTTATAAACGGCCAGATTAGCATACTGTGTACACACAGATCATGTACATGTACAGTGTGTATCAGTGTTTGATATAAGCTGTCATACTCTGCGTAGGTCTTCTACAGTTTTCACATATGATGTTAAGGAGAAGTTTGGAAGCCTTTGTTACCATATGCATGTATACATACATGCACACATAATCATATATATATATATATATGTGGGTATGTATATATGTATGTATGCATAGGCTATAGGTATGTTGAATTACATACATGTAAGCTTTGTTGGTGATGGAGTAGTTATCTGTATCGACATTAGACTTCACGACATCTTAATTAACGATGTTTAGACTCCCGTGGTTTCTGCCCCCTGCGGATCGCATCTTGGCAGCGGCGCAAGGCAAAGCCGTAAAGCTTCTTAAGATCACCCCCATCATCATCGACCTGGTCTGCCCTCTCCGGGATGTAGCCGACAATCTGAAACAACATGCGCACCTTCAGGATACATGGTTTTGAGGGCTTCTATAGAATAGGGTTCTTTACGGGATACTTTTTAAGGGTATTTAAACCTCATGGCCTCCGCCCGCAAAGTCTTCACCGTGAATTTTTGCAGACCACTTACAAGGAGAATCGCTGAAATGATCTCTGCATTGTACTGCAAGGACTTCGTGCTGCGAATCACTTTCTCGCCCTCGTCACTATGATCCCACTTGAGCCACCCCTGCTGTTTCCTAAAGCGGGTGCGCACCCGCGAAATGGTCTCCCATTGCTTTGCATAGCCTGGGAGCGGCTTGCGTTTCTTACTTTTGGCCATATTGCTTCGCCCAGAAGGGCGATTGAACCACCAAAATCTCGGAACAGATGCGATTCGATCAGACGAAACATGATTTGTCTGCATGCATCGACAGCACTGCAAATACGTTCAGGGCACGACCACCACCGTTTCAGAACGGGCTTCGGGCGCCCACTGCCTTCCGGATGAAAGATCGAGGCATATAGAAAGCGAAGGATCCCGAAATGCAAGCTACTGCTGTTTCACAGATAGGCCTTTACTTCGAGCCACGGCAAAGTGCCGACATGGCAAGCGTGCAACCATTCCAGGCTGAATGCCTGAATTATCATTAACTATACGAACCCAGCCAACTCATTGCTAGGAACTATATAGGGTCTATAGATATAGGGCTTACAATTAGAATTATTATTATTACTCTTGTTTTTTTTATGTTTTTTATCAATCGAATGGTTCAATACCTCCAGCAGAAGATCCCATTCATCTGTTGCCTGGGCGGCATTCCCATGCAGCTTGGGCCGACACCGGCGTGCCCCACCCAAAACATTATCAACCTGTATCCGATCGTCGACACTGCCTTGCAGAAAGGCGTCGGTGCTGGGTTTTTTGGGGACAAATGCCTACGATTTCTGGAAGTTGCTACATTTATGGGAAAGGCGCTAGGTTCTATAAAAGGCTCATTTATATATAACAACTTCAGGAAAGGCGCTAAGTTTCTTAAGGAAGACCCATATTCATAGCAACTATGGTTTTCAAGGTAGTTGAAATCCTAAACCCGAAGGCTCGCAACTCGAAAGGCTTTGGGCGTTTAGGGTAGGGGCGTAGACCCCAAACTCTAACCCCTCAGCCCGCAACTCCTAAGCTCTTACATAATCCCTAAACTCTAACCTAGACCCTTGAACTCTTTTGCGCTAAACTCTAACCCTTAAACCCTAAACGCCTAAACTCTTAAACGCCAAACTCCAACCCAAGCCCTAAACCCCTAAACTGTTAAGGTCTGTCCCTGGGGGGTTCCCGGGAACATCTTTGTCTTCAGGACTTCGGAGTTTGGGGGGGTGGGGGGTGGGTGGGGGCGGTAATATCGACATGATGATGATGACATGATGCTAAGCGACATGCTGGTGAGGGCATGATGTTAGCATGCGCATGACATGATGATGATGATGACGGCGATATGATGATGTTGTTGATGATGATGATGATGCTGACATGGTCATGCTGACATGGTCATGTTGACATGGTCATGATGACATGGTAGCCTTCAAGCCAAAACCACGAGAACGATTCTGGAACTCAAGCCTTACGAAGTGGTGCAAATATCAGTGAATCTGCTCCTCTCTTGTAAATACACCGTGAAACGCAGGGTTTTCCTCATGTACTCAAGTACTT